CTGAGATCTGTCAGGACGACATTTTTATATTGACCTACCCTCGTGACCCTAGTGACCTACCCTCGCGTTGCTCGGGTGCGTCCCTAGGTATGCTTTTTCTTTAACGGAACCCTAATTCTTTTTTTTATATAAAAATGGCCTAAGGTACTCCTTATAATATCAGCTATTTGCCAGTAAAAGCCCCGTCAAATCAGTCTACCCGTTGTGGAGATTAGCGGGAACAAATAGACAAACAGATAAAAATAAAAAATGTGTTTTTCTTATATGTATTAAGTAGAATACCGTATATAATTTCATATGCGTTTAGTAAAAAGCTGTTATTTTGACATTACATACAGACCCTTAAATTTTATTTATCTGTAGGTACCTATAGATTATCTATACTAATATTGTAAAGAGGTAAAGTTTGTGAGATTATGAGCTTGTGACGTTGTAGGGGGTAATGTCTGGATCTACTGAATCAATTTAGATGACATTTGGTAAAAAGATAGTTTGAGACCCTGGGAAGGACATATAATTCTTTTTATTCCGGAAATCATACTTTAAGAATGTGAAAATGGGGTTGAATGTTTCAATGTTTGCATGGGAATCAAGTTATATATATACCTATATTCTTTAATGCATATATTAGTTATATTCAAAACAATAAATCTACCAGTATGTTAGAATACGGATATTCCGGGCGCGCACTCAAGTAAATCATAATTTCATCGCAATCGGATCAATGATGTAGAAAAGTACTGAATACAAATAAACAGAGAAGGACAATACATATTTATATATTAGATTTATTACGCTACGTACATAATAAATGGTATTTCATTTCTTTAATGGTATACTAGAAGGTATACACTGTACAGTGTACACTTGACTGCGCAGAATATCTCAGGTTGGAGTTCCTCATCAGTTATTGTGTTCGATAGCAAGTGAAGTGGTGTGAGTATTTATCTCTACACTCTAGGTTGCGTCCTCGAGCTATAATTAAAACGTGAAAGTTTATATATTATGTATTGTGGTGAGTGTATGTTAGTTACTGCTTAAATGTCTAGATAGATTTCAATGAAATTTATTACATAGATGGCGTATGACCTAGGTCCTAGAGTAACACATAGGCTACTTGTTGTTACGTTTTATATTGATTAAATTAAAGTCTAGACTTTTTAATTAATTATTTAATTGCACGATGTATTATTTAATATATGACACAAGATTCGAGAATGATCAGTTAAGTGATTGAAACAAAAAAATAATTTTACATGGATCATCTCTTTCCCACAAGTGTTGCCAACCTAAAGAACCTAAATCAATAAAAAGAAATCCTATATTTATATTAATAATTAATATATTTATATACAAAGGCAGTGGTAGCCCATTGGTAACGCGCTCGCTTAAGAAACCGAGTGAAACGGGTTCAAAGCCCGGGTCTCGCAACTCTGATATTTTCATGTGCGAATCATTTCTAGTATGATTACTAAGCATGGAAATGATTGCTACTTTTAAATCATTATCACGTGATGAAATTACAACAATTTTTCACGTGATTTCACCTGCTACTTTTCACGCATAGATTTTTGATTTCGACGGTCTGGTGTCACACTTTATATTATTTGCTATTAAAATGAAGTATGAAATGTCACCAATGGCGCTCCTGATGTGATATGGAGCAGAGATATAGATCTGACGTAGTTGCATACGTACATGGTGCTTTGAATGAACCTATTTTCAAACTTTATTTAATGCTTATCAAAACAAAAGATAAAAAAAAACAATTAATGCTACAATATATATTATATGAGGCAAAAATATTTTGTATGATCTTTAACTTAACGTGTAATTTATAGTTATAATTTCATTTATTTACCTTATTATTATAACATTAGTGATAATTCAAACAGAAAATGAAAACACTTAAAAATTATAAACAAATTGTATAATTATCTATCATTCTATCCATTATGACAGAATTTCTAAATGCTGATCTCATTTAGTATTTATAAAGACAATATTTAGAATTTGTTTTTCTACTTTGTAATATAGTTTGATGATAAAATAATTTTACTACCAGACATTGTACCTGGGAGAGTTTCAAATTGCAAAAATGTGCTTGAAAATAACCCTATTTGCCTACTTTGTTATCCAAAAATAGCGCCCAGAATTCTTAAAATAACGCATCAGCAACATATATTTTTCTCGGTACGGTATAAACGTTGACACTTGACGACGCGTTGTTTTCTGTGGAATAATGCACGATCAGCAAACCATTTCAATTGGAGAGTTACAGGATATCTAGAACCCAGAAATTTTAATTATTTATAAATCTTTATAATTTTTAAAAACTTTACTAACAATATTTTTTTATGAATAAATTTTGAAATTAAATAATAAATAAAAAATAGGTAATTTAAAAATGAAAAGTAACGCCATCTTTCACGTTAGTGTGACGTCGTAATGCATATATTATATTTTAAAATCAATTGCGCGAATGATTTATTAAATCATAATCTGTACGTATTACACATAATCATTCAGTAAAAATTATAAGTATTTGTTGGATAAAAAACTAAAAATGTGCTCTAAATTTAATTGTTGTTTCTAATTTAAAATTATTTCTAAACAATATTTCTAAGAATCCGAAATCATGCAACTCGAAATAAATAAACTCCCCAATTTACTGATCAACGGTATTAACTGAAAATTGTATTTTGTTGAATAAAAAATCAATAAAAACATCAGTACGAAAATGTATACGGAAAATGCGAGTAACGAAATGCATTCGTGAGTAACGTTTCGGTACTCGGTACTAGATGGCGTACCCGTTACTCAGTAACGAATACATACGGTTTGCTACAGCTCTAGATTTCACCAAGTTGTGATTTGTAGCAGCCACTATGAATTTAAGTAGCAGGTGTGACGTATGATTACGCATTTCACGTGATTTTTCACTTGCTACTCGTGAAATGTGCCATCCCTAATGATTACCACTTGCCTTACGGTGAAGGAAAACATCGTGAAGAAACCTGCATGTCTGAGAGAACTTAGCAAGTTTTCGAAAGACATGTGAAGTCCGCCAACCCGCACTTGACCAGCGTGGTGGACTATGGCCTGATCCCCCTCGTATTGAAGGGAGGCCCGTGCCCACCATTGGGACGTTACAAAGGGCTTAATACATACATACATATTTATATTTATACATAAAGTATGTACTACATTGTTCTTTAACACTACTGATAGGCTTACAGTCACACCGCGACGAAGCGGGGGTAAGTCGCCAGTATAAACGTGAAATGTTCCACGATTCTATCATAGACATATAGATCAATACAGGGGGACTATTGGGGGCCATTGTGAGTACACCGTTATTATATGTATGTATTGTAATGAATGTAGATATTATGTATACAGGCCAAAGGCCTTGATAAAATAGTGACATGAACAAACAACAAAAATCAAATCAAAGAGAAGGCATAAAACTATAAATAAACAACTTTCTTTATATATTTACTACTAGCGGCTCACCCTCGCTTCGCTCGGGTTCGTCGCTAGGTACGTTTTAAATAGATATAAAAAGAAAAAATCTTTCTTTCTCACATTTTAATTATATGTTTTAATACTTACCTATTCCGGACTAAGAGAAATCCAAAAATTAAAATATCATAAAAATTGGAACGCGGTCGAACGGGATAAAAAGTATCCTATGTCCTTCTCCTGGCTCTAAACTACCTCCCTGCCAATTTTCAGCTAAATCGGTTCAGCCGTTCTTGAGTTATAAGCGAAGTAACTAACACGACTTTCTTTTATATATATAGATTATTAGTAATATACAATTTGTTAAAAAACATAAGCTGTTATTGAATTCCAAAAAAATAGAACTAGCCTAACAAATTTTTATAAATTTAAAGAAAAGTATAGCTCAGATTTTATTATATTCGGTTTTACTTTGCCAATATAATAATATTTTCCACGTTTAATTCCATACCCTTAGGCCTGAGATATCATTATTCTTTGTGAGAACTTGTTAGTCCTTCTTTTACTGCGTTTCATAGGATACTATTTATATTTTAACTACTTTTTGCCCGCGCCTCCACTCGCCTGGTACGTGGGGCGGGAATCAAAGTTAAAATATATTGGAATCAGCAATTCGATTGTTTTGACCACGTGATATATCGTTTAAAATATGTAATGCCCATACATTTCCTTAGTTTTCTCAATCGTTAACGATTGTAGATAGTCAACATGGCTAAGCCCTCAGTTCAGTCTAACCGAGAATTGATAAAGCGGTTTTATATGTATTAAGTCTATTTTGTTTATCACTTTTAAATCTAAAATATACACCTAAATCAAAATTAATTTAAAAAATTAATTGCACCCTTAAACGTAGATCTATTTTTGTTATTTAAACAATACCATAATTAGTGTAACTTATTAATTAGCTTTCCCCGATTTTAAATATTTCAACTGATATTTCAACAAAAATAATTTAATTAGGCTACAGCTCAAACTGTAGGTAAAATTATTATATATATGATACTCGACCGATTAGAATAAAAATATAGCTCTGTAGTATATTTTATTTTAGTTAACATAATATTATACAAAAATGTCCCAATAAAATCTATTTTTACACGGGCAGGCCGAAAAAGTTTTCATTTGGCACTTTTATAATTATAAATACAATTGGCATCGACATAAATATCAAAGGAGACTTGTAAAAACTACTGTAAAAGGGATCCAGCTATATAAAACGTTTTAGGTAGACTATTTTCTATATTAGATTCGATGCAAAAAATATAACTTCTGCAATGGGCCCGCCCTAGGACATTATTTTTCTCATCAATTTTTCACCATGTCTTATTATGAATATATTTAATTAGTATTATTATAAATTCTTCATTTATATAAATATGTCGAATATTAATAATATCATAAGTATTGCGTGCGACGCACAGTTTGATGCACACGAGTGGCTTTGCACTAACACATTTTATTTCCACGCCATCTAGTTACAACTGGCGGCAACTTCTACTCATAAACGAACCCGACGCTCAAGAACAAGTCGCTGGAAAATCCACCTGCCACCTCATGATGAAAACCTTCGCGAATTACTTGAAAATTGAAGACATTATCTATACTCCGTGGGACACTACTTCTGATGGCGGTCTCAATTACACAGAAAATTTGAAATTTTATCTCGGCTATAAATATACAAGTAAGTGATTAGTTTTTAATACAGGCAGCTTTCTTACGGTAAGTTAAATGTTAGAATAATGTTTCAACCCCAATATAGATGTCACTGTACAATCAATCTACACTCCGCTAGATGGCGTTATGTATTTAAAAATATTTCTACCCCTTAACTATACTTGAGTCTGCTCAACAATAGATGGCACTGAATATAAAATTTAACTTCTACAGATTTAACTGGAGGCGGACTATCATTTTATATGATACATTCAGTTATAATAAATACGCTGGACTAAGAGGAGGATTTTTGTTGGCTAGTACCATTCATGATTACATGATGCAGGAAGGTTTTGACATTTTTGGGCGGGAATTACAATTAAATTCATTAAGTGTAGAAGAACACTTATTGCAGTTTGTTGGAGTTAACTATGCCAGTGAGTTTGTTGCGATTTAAAATACGGTTAAGGTTTTTATCACGGTTTCAAACGTGTGATTTTGCACACCGCTTTGGTCACTTTAAAAGCAAAGTAGCACTTTAATTTTAATATATATAATCACACAATGCGTTAAAGATAATAATATAATTATTGCCTGGGTATAGGTATTCACATAAAAATTAGATTCTTTAAGTACGTCATTTTTGACGCAAAAATAATTTTTAAAAGTGTGTAAAGTGGTTTTTTATATATTATTATTGTCTAAGGTTTATTTTGGGTACGTATTTCTTATATAAAGTATATATAAAACGAAGATGATCTCTATTTCTTCTTAAAGCACTAGGCTCTCAATTCGTAGAAGATCACACTATACCACACGGAATAAAAGAAAGTAGGAATTCAGACGTCTTTCAAAATCTAGTTAGGTTGCCTCAAACACTTAGGTTTTCTCATGATGTTTTCCTCCACTACATATAGTAACTAATATATTCGTATATGTAATCGATTTGACGACACGTTGGCTCAGTTTGTAGTGACCTTACTTGCTGTGCCAGCGGTCGCGGGTTCGATTCCCGATGGGGGCACACATTTGTGTGATGAATATGAATGTTTGTACTCCAGTTATGGGTGTTTATATTTATAGATGGTGCTGTGTTAATGTCTCAACATGTTTATTTATTTATAATATAAATATATAAAAGGAAAATATTATCAATATTAATTTAGTTCCTAACTTAACGTTTTAATTATGCAAAAGTACTTTCATTGCTGGTAAAAAATTACCAAATACTTATAGAGCTCAAAGTATTAAAGCTATGGAAAGTAAAAAAGAAACTTATCTGTGATTATATTCAGACTAGATTAAAGATAAATAGGGTTTTTTAAAAATTGCGCCTTACGCAAAATGTACATAACGTTCATTTTAGCCCAGTGGCATTCTTTATACGTGTTTATAAATTTTGAGAACTTTAAACTCGTTTTTAAACGGTTTTTTTATAATAAAGCACATAACTATCATATATGCGATAATTTGTGAGTATGTATATTTCTTACTCCTTTACCCTAAAATGGCTGGACAGATTTTAATGAAATTTGAATTTCAATAAGACGAGAGTGAGTTTCAATGAGTGAGTAGTTAGCTAAAAGGTCGCACTATCTTTATCTTTATAACATTATAAATAAAAAACGTACTTAGGTTTAGGTTGTTGAAGTTATTAGTATTTACTTTATTCAAATAGACTTACAAGCAGTTATGAATTGTCACATTTACATTTTAAATTTAAATGTAGGTGCGCTTTTAAAATAATATTTGCTTACAATATTGTAATGCAAAATTACCTACCTATCCTACGTGAGACCCAACCAGACATTTGTTCCATACATTGACGTCTACAAAGTATTTCGTGACGGTATAATAAACTTTACTCAGTAATATATTTTTAATGTTAGATTTAAATTATTTAAATACATATATGGTAATGAAATTAAATAAGCTCATACGTTATGTTAAGTAACAAAGATAAAGTTTATTACTTCATTTAAAATTCTTGCTGAGAGCCAAATATATTTTGGCTAGACATAATTTGTCACGGCCGGTACAGACACTTTTGTGAAAATAAAAATAGAGTTATATACTTTTTTATTGTTCCAATAGTATTTTCTGTTTTAAAAACAAGAAGGAATTACTTTTTAACAAGCGCCATAATTACACGTATTAAAGGTATACTAGCGACTAGTTACGAGTAGGTATGTGTTATTCGCGATTGACAGAATCGAACGACCCAGGTCGCGGACACTTCGCGAACGATCGGATCGCCAAGAAAACCACGATTCGTTCTCGTTCATTCAATCGAATTCACAACTGAAATTGAACTAGTTCATTCGACCGATTGATTGAACTGATCCGTTCATTCAACGCCCATCACTAGAGAGTATCCTTTGTAGTTTTCGCGCGTGAAAAGCCGCGTGTTGCTAGTAATAATATAAGTACGTAAAAATATAAGTTCGTAATTCGTGTAATTTGTCATCATACAAATCAAATCAACGCAACCTGTTTACAAATGCTTGTCGGATTATGAAGTGCCGAAGGCAAAATGATGATCTGATTTTAATTCATTATTAAATATTTTGGTTAAACAAATTAGGTTCAGACGCATCATCAATTAGCCTTTGTCATTTTGTAAAAAAAGCTAATATTTGCTAACAGTTATAGGCTTTTTGTAATGACAAACTAGCGAGTCACCCTCGTACGTTTTAACGTTTAGCATATATTGATTTCTCAGAGATGAGATATTTTTCCGCAATAAAAAGTATCCTATGTTGACCCAGATAACCAGCTACTATCATACCAAGTTTAATTAAAATCTGTCCAGTGGTTTACTCGTGATGCGTTTCCAGACAGACAGACAAAATATCTAAAAACCTCTATACTATACGTGGTCCTAACTAAAGTAGTTACAAATGCCTTCTAGTGTATATATTATATCTACACGAATATTATATAATATAAAGAGTTTTTTTGTGTGTTCGTATGCGCTGGTCTCAGGAACTACCAGTCAAACTTGAATAATTCTTTTTGTACTTTATATACTAGCATCACGCTACGAACCTTAAAAACGGAACAATTATTACACATAAATACAAGATTCGAGTGGACTCGCGGGCACGATCTAGCCTTATAATCACTACATATATTATTATAAAATGAAATCCTCCACCGCGTCTGTCTGCCTGATCACGGTAAACTAAAAAACTACCTAAAGGATTTTCATACGGTTTTCACCAATAGATGGAGTGATTCATGAGGAAGATTTACGCGTATAATTCGTTAGGATTTTTTGAAAACCATTTTTTTGTGTAAAAAGTTAAATTGGCTGAAATATGACGATGATTGTTGAAAATGTCGCAAAAATTCATACCGACTGGAAGCTTTATTGGCGTGCGCCGCGTAAAATAATTAAGTTATATGAAAACAATGTATTACAGAATTATGCCTCTTAAAAAGATCTTCCTATTAAACTGTAGCAACGCTATGTACACGTACCGGAGGGTAAGTCACTAGCAAAAAATATATTGATTGAACACTTCTATACTTACTATAAAGAAGTAAAGTTTGTGAGTTTGTGAGTTTGTGGATTTGTGAGTTCGTGACGTTGTAGGGGGTAATCTCTGGATCTACTGAACCAATTTAGATGAAATTTGATAAAAGGATATAGTTTGAGACCCTCAGAATAACGTAGAATTTTTATCCCTGATCTGTTTGCATACTATCCAGACATTGTGCCATTTTCAGTTTGGCTTTAAAAAATTAACGTAATATGATGAGTTATAGAAGTAAATTTGAATAATAATATTTTTGACACCCTTTAATTATTAATTATATACTATATCTAGTAATATAATTAAATGTTTTACATATAAGATAAAAATATAAATACCAAAAGTTAAAGTGAAAGCTTATTTATACAAAGCATTTATACTTTCTCTTTGGTTAAAACGGGATTGATTTAAAAAAAATACGCTGCATTTTATCGTGTTACAGTTATAAATACTCAAATGTTTTAAGTCTTTTACGATTTTATGACGAAACATCGTCTTAATATTGTATAATACTTGTTATTAAGGTTTTATAAACAAAGTAGATACTTCATGCGGTTTTTCTGCGTGTACTGCTTTTAAGCCTCCAGCTACTATACAGGGTCATTTTTAATTTACTGAAAACCTTTTGGGAATACACTATTCACAACATAACAACAACATGTGTAAAAAATAATATATCTTAAATTTAACAAAAATAAAATATTTTTATTGCACCGTCTCAACGGTAATAGTCCAGCATTAGCAAAAGAACGTGTCCGGTGGAGGGGGAGGAGTGGAGGGGTGTAGGAAGCCGCGCTTACTCATTTAAACTTGGCCAGATGCTAGAAGTTTAAAGTTTAGAAGATGCAAAAAAATATTTTTATTTTTGTATGAAAATAAAAATTTAAGTAATATTATTTTTTAATGTTACAGATGTTGTTGTTATGATGTAAATAGTATATCCCCAAAAGGTTTTCAGTAAATTAAAAATGACCCTGTACATAAATAACTCTCTCTCTCTGCTTACGACTGCACAAAATGGGAATATCCGGAGTAGGTATTTACTTGACATATATTACTAAAAAAGATCGATGCTAAACAAACAGATGTGCAAAAGTTTTAAAATCTTATTAGTTTATTTATTTAGCTTCTCTTACATACCGAATATCTTCCAAATATATTTTTTTTATAGATTACTAGCGACTCACCGCGGCTTCACCCAGGGTGATCCCTAGGTAAGTTTTAACGGTTAGTATTGAATAGATAGACTAGAATATCTATACATATAATAAAATTGTAACTAAGCCGAATCTGTAAATTAGATATTTTTTGGAAAATCTTATTGAAATAAACATTATTATCGATACAGAGGCCGAATCTATAGTTTTTAGAATTTTTGTCTGTCTGTCTGTTACCGCATCACGGAAAAACCACTGGAGAGATTTTGATGAAATTTGGTATGGTGATAGCTGGTTATCTGGGTCAACATATAGGATACTCTTTACCGCTGGAAAA